GTGCGTGCATGTGTATCTGGAATCTCTAGACAACCTATAAACGCCTTAATACGTGATGCAACAAAAGGAAAATTGAAACTCTTATTTCATTTATTTGAAAAGAAAACAAATCTCCCTCAACTGCTTCCCATTTTTGAGGGGGGAAAATAAATTCCTGTTTGACTTTCGCAACACTTAAAAACTGACATCATTCCAAAGAGCATGGCGATGTGTCAGTTTGAGGTCACCTGTGCCTCCTTCCTGTGTGCTGCAGGCGCTATGGGACACGCTGCTCCCGCTGTGGGAGGCACATCCACTCCACTGACTGGGTCCGCAGGGCCAAGGGCAACGTCTATCACTTGGCCTGCTTCGCCTGCTTTTCTTGCAAGAGGCAGCTGTCGACTGGAGAGGAGTTTGCCCTGGTGGAAGAGAAAGTCCTGTGCAGAGTGCATTTCATCTGCATGCTGGATAATTTAAAAAGAGAAGTGGAGAATGGTAAGTAGGGTCCAGACACCTTTGCGTCTTTCAGGACAGTGTGAATGAGAGAAAAAAATTCTACCCCAGGCCGTTGTAATGTATTATTTTAAACAAGAGGCAATGATGGTGACGTCAACAGTGCCTCCGGTTAAAGGGCTCCATCTGTTGCTTTGCAGGCCAGGGGTGGCCTCTGTGAGTTCCACACTGTACTCTGTGGCAGCAGCCTGGAGTTTGGGTTCAACTTTATTTCTGTGTATTTGTCTTTGTAACATGGGCCTTAGATGTATACTTTCACCATATTTCCGGCAGAGTGCACAAGGCTATCAATACTTACAGTCTATTTGCAACATGCTTTTAAAACTTAGCAGACTTAGAAGATTCGTGTGGTACCACAGGAAGCCCAGGTATGTGAGGAAACTGCAGAGGTGCAGAGTCATCTGAGGTACCAGCTGGGTGGTTTGTTGTTTTTTTAATGCAGGTAATGGGATTAGTGTGGAAGGAGCCCTGCTCACAGAACAAGACGTCAGCCATCCAAAGCCAGCCAAAAGAGCACGGACCAGCTTCACAGCAGATCAGCTCCAGGTAGACATTGGGGATGTATGATTGATTCTGAAACTCTTTCCCCACAGAAGACAGTCTTAAAGCAGAATAAGACGTGATCTCTATGCTGTCTGACAACAGTTTTCTAAAAGGCTGTTCTATACTTTTTTCTTAAAGATCTAACTTGATAAGAATATAAATGCATTCTTATTGCCCTAACAAGTCATGGTCTGCAGAGTCTTGTCATGGTAGCTTTGTGTCCTTAGGCTCCTTTGGTGTTGACTTCAAATCAGGACACAGTGTGAGCATCGGGCTAAGGCAGACATTTTTGTTACCTGAAATGACAACAAAAGACAGTATGGAGACTTGGCTGAAAGAGACAGCCAGCACCCAGGGCTGTGGGGCTCCTTTGTGTTGTCATTTAAGTAAATTATCATAAAATCACAGGGCTTTTGTACAGGGAAGAACAGAACCTCCTAACAGACAGGAATCTAATGGTTGACACCAATCATAAAGGGTGACTCCATGGTCCCTGCTGTGGTTGCTGCTGCTGCCCCTTGGTTATCACAGTTGTCTTGGATGTGAGTATTGTCTCATTTGTGCTAACTGTCAAGAAAAATCCCTTGCTTGATATTTAAGTTTACATATGATGATTCTATTTGGCGTTTTTCCAGATAGTCATATTTCCTAAAAGCTCATGTGGCTGAGGTGTTTGTTCTGTGTTAAGATAAATAACATTTGCAGCACCTTTCCCATGGGTTGCAGGGTGTGTTGCATAAAGTACCAGCGTCAGCTGGGAACTGAGGCAAACGTGTCTGGTTAGCAAATGAAAGAAAAGCCACTTCTAGTAGTCAGAGACTGCCCAGCATTTTAGGTCTCTACAGTGAAAATACTTCAAGAACGATTAGAGGGGTAGCCTGGATGTGGCCAGCAAATGGGCCAAATGCTGAGTATTAAATTCTAGGCCCATTAAGAATAAAGCCTCCAGGTACACAATTGCTTGCTATTTATTAGACACGAAGTCCACAACCAGCAAGTAATATGTGAAAAATAATATGGTTGAGAAGCTTGTCCTCGTTTGACTCTTGTTGGAGTGTTGGAGAGAGACACACATCCTGAAGCTGATGTGAATTCTTGACTTTGTAAAAGCAAGAACCGGCAGCCTGGTGAGGCAGAGAGCGTCTAGTAGGCAAGTGTGGGATCTGAAAGGGGTCTGCTCCGTAAGGACTTGGCTGTGACTTTGACAATTGCAGCCTTCAGAACTTGGATGTGAAAAGTCCTTACCAAAGTTGTAGCTGGAACTTTGAAGTCAGGGCAGGTAGCTGTGCAATCTCTGGTGAGAAGATAATTACAGGAAAAAAATTAGGTGGGATGTTTGTGGGGGGTTTTGCAGGCCAAGCCCTGTGCTGGGATGTATTCACACCATCAACTCCTCAGCCACTCCCACAAGCTCTCAGTGTAGTCAGACTCAAGGGGCACAGGAACCACCGCAAGGTAACCAATTGCTCAGGGAATGGCAGAGGAGAGAAAGGTCCAGACGGACTTGCCCAACCTCTGTGTTTTTTGTGTGGTTTTGCCTTCTGGGAGACTGTGCTCTTTACTAGAACCCAGCAGTACAGAGAGAAGAAATCCTGAGTCTTGCAATTGTAAGACAGGCTTACAATTACCACTTGTAGTGTTCAGAAAATACTTAAAAAACGCACTGCTCCATAAGAATGTGACTTGAATCATAAGCGGAAAAACATGGTCAGAAGCATGGGCTCCTTTGTTCAGCGTTCAGTAGCACTGATCCTATATCCGAGGTGGTCAAAATAAACAAGGTACAATCCTTAGTTCTAAAGAACAAGAAAGCTGGGATAGCCATAGATTTAAAAGAGGGTGGGGAAACCCAAGTCATCATTTACTTTCACCAGATTATCTGATAAATCAAGTACTATATCACCTTGTCAAATTGTCCCATTTTAAAGAAAGCTGAGTGTATTTAAATTTTGCCTTCAACAAAATAATAATAAATAAAATCACCTGT